ATGAAGAGAAGTTGCTTAATGGGTACAAATACACAGCTTGATAAAAGAAATAAGACTCAGTGTTTGATAGAGCAGTAGGGTGACTATAGTTTACAATAATATATTGCATATTTCAAAATAGCTAGAAGAGAATTATTCAAATGTTTCTAGCATAAAGAAAAGACATATATCTAAGGTGACGGATAGCCCAAGTACACTGATTTGATCTTTACAAATTATATGAATGTATTAAATTATCACATGTACCCTGAAAATATGAACATTATGTATCAATAAAAAATTTAAAAATAAATAATACTTTTGAGAAATGAGAAAGATGAATACCTGTTTGTAAAGAGTCATTGATGAGATGTTTGAAGGAACCTGGCTCAGTAACATTTTAAAAATGGTTTGTAGGCTGGCATGATGGCTCATGTCTGTGATCCCAGTGATTTGGGAGGCTGAGGTAGGAGAATGGCCAGGAGTTCCATACCATCCTGGCCAGAGCATCCCACCACCCCATCTCTACAAAATATGAAAAAAATTAGCCAGATGTGGCATATGCTTGTAGTCCCAGCTACTCTGGAGGCTGAGGTAGGAAGATCGCTTTAGCCCAAAAGTTTTAGGTTATAGTGAGCTATGATTGTGCTACTGTACTCCAGCCTGGGTGACATAACAAGACCTTGTTTCTTTAAAAAAAAAAAGAATTGAAAAAAATTTTTTTAGTAGTCTATATAACAAGATACAAAATTCATCAGTGGGTGAGGTGACTTGAAGAACTGGATTAAAATTTTAAAACCCTATGTACATTTTAAAGATTAGTGGACAATGACATGATCGTATTAAATATTGATAATTTACTCATGTAAAAACTCCTGAAAGCCACATTCTAAAGAGGAGACAAAATGAGCTGGGTGTGGTGGCGTGTGCCTGTGGTCCTAGCTACTTGGGAGGCTGAGGCAGGAGGATCACTTGAGCCTAGGAGTTTAAGGCTGCAGTGAGCTATGATCATGCCACTGCACTCTAGCCTGGCCGACAGAACAAGAGCCTTTCTAAAAAAAGTAAATAGAATCTAAGGAATTGCCTCAATTGCTGCTGCAGTGTTTGTGAGGTCAAGGTCTAGTGATATGTATTGGTGACTAAAATGAAATGACTGATAGGCTGTACCTGACCAATTTGTGAAAGATCATATAACATGGACATGACAATTACAATATACTGGGGAAGTAGGGTGAAGAAAGCTTCTCAAAATATTTAACTACAGTATTAGAGCAATCTTGTTTGCTGATTCACATAGGTACGCTATATACACTAGTTATCTTCCCAATGAGCAACTAGCACTATTAAATTGAAAATATAAAAAGTGCCTTTAGAAATCTTGAATTTAATTTCTCTGGGAAAACAAGTTTCGGGCAGTATTCTTACTATTGAAAAGGCAAGTCAACACTAAAAGAAGTGTAGCTTAATTAAATTATGATTTTACAAATATTACAAACAATAACTAGAGTGTAACTCTAATCAAGGATAATAATTAGATTTTATTTCTCTTTTTAATTCTGGTTCATTGGAAGTGATTGCCAGGGGCTCTTTGTTGAGAAGGATACTGGGGTAGTGTTTGCACTCAGGAGAAAAGAATTAATGACTGATTTACAGTGACTTCCATGGAAGCCTCCAATGCTTTCACCTTGCTATATCCAATGTTCATTTCTCAGTCCTCATTTTACTTGACCCATTAGCAGGAGGTGTCACAGTTCATCATTCCTTCCTCCTTCATTTTCTTCACTTGGCTACTGGTTCCTTTTACATAGCTAGCCAGTTTTCGATCTTATTTGCTGATTCCTCTCACCTTCCCGTCCTCTTGGAGTAGACTTAGTCATTGTATCACTTTTCTATGTAAACTTGCTCCCTACAGCAGCATAGTCCAATAGAAAAATAATGTGAGCCACTAATGCAAGCCACATATGTAATTAGAAATTTTCCAGTGACTACCTAAAAAAAAAAAAGTAAAATGAAACTGGTGAAATTAATATATCTTATTAAACCCAATATATCCCAAATATAACTATATCGATAATATTAAAATATTAATGTGATACTTTAAGTTATTTAATACTAAGTCTTCCAAATCCAATGTGTTATACTTACAGCATATCTCAATTCAGAATATCCAATTTCACATGCTCCATAGCCACATGTGGTTTATGGCTGTTATATGGAACAGCATGGCCCTAGCTGATCTCATCCAATCCCTTAATTTAAAATACCATCTTATGCTAAATGCTGACTACTCTTAAATTTTTATTTCTAGCTTGCAACTCTCTCCTGAACTCCAGACTCAGATATCTAAGGGTAACAACACTTCTTGGATGCCTAATGTATACGTCTAATTTATCACGTCCAAAATTGAACTTTTGGTCTCCGATTTGTTCTTTTCCTTCTCAGTTACTGGCAACTCCATCACTTTAGTTACTCAGGCCAAAAACATTAGAGTCAACATTTACTCCTCATTTTGTCTCAAACTTCACATTCAATCTACAACTCCTATGGCACTATTGGTTCTACATTCAAAAGATATCCAGAATCTGATTCCATATCCATCACCTCTACTACCACTACTGTAGTCCAAACTCCCATTATCTGGGATTATTGCAATAGCATCCAAACTGATCCCTCACAGTCCTTTCTTCTCATAACAGATGTCCTTTAATAACATAAGCCAGATCATGTCACTCATCTGTTCAAAATTCTTCAGTGGCTCCTGGTCTCAGAGTAAAGCCAAAGTCCTTAAAATGACCTTCAGAACTCTGCAGGATCTGACCCTCTGTAAGTTCTCTGATCTCCTCTCCTACTATTCCCTTCCTTGCTTACTCCACTATAGCTACTCTCGCCTCCTGTTCTTCCTTTAAAATTGCCAGTCATACTCCAGCTCAAGGGCCTTTGGATTTGCTATACCCTCAGTTATCTCCATGGCTCCCTCCCTCATCTCTTTCAAGTCTTTGCTAAAATATCATCTTCTCAGGGAATCACTTGAATGAATGAATGACATGAATGAATGACATGAATGAATGATTTGTATGACATAACATGACATGACAGAACAGGTGCCATCAGGAAGAGTCAGAGCACTAAGTGCCACATGCTTGCGTTCTAATTGAAGTTAACATAAAACTTCCAACATTTATTTAGCACCCATTATTAGTAAAACAGACACGGATATGATTGGTCGCTGTAAGTGGAGGGAAACACTGAAATGGTCTTGTTGCTTTAGAAGGTATTCTTGAATATTTTCAGCACATGTTGGAACAAACAGCTGGTTTCCTCAGTCACTAAGAAAGCAGTATCTGTTAACAAACAGGAATATCTGGGCTTCCTCCTCCTAGGTAATCAGAATCTACAAACATAATCCTTTAATGCAAGCAGTATATAAATTACTGCACTTTTAGAATACTTGATTCTAGTTCTAGCTCTACTCCTAGCTTGATACGTGACCAAGTAAATAAATCACTTGTCATCTCAATTCTTTTATGCCTATGATAAAATGTCTAATCTCACCCAGATCCCAATTCAGGTTGAGATAACAGGATAATATATACTTGGGTGTTACAAGTTGACACAATTATGTATGCATTGTGGAGCTTCAGAAAAATTTTTTAAATCTAAGAATCTCTAAATCAGGGTTATTTAAAACCAGTCTTCAGTTTGTGGTAGACTTAAGGTCTTTAGTCTGTTTTTCTTTTTTAACCCCAATGGTCACTTAACACTACTTATACCATTGAACTCATAGCCTATTTTAGTTAACACCTGCTAGTGTTTCAGTCCACCCTAGCTCAAAACAAAGGAGGAACATGATCAACCTGAGTAATCAACGTGAGACATTAAAATGTGTAGTTTACCCTAGGAATGGGTTTGAGGGTTGGAGGGTAGGGAGCAAAAAGGAAGGACTGAGGGAGCAGATGAGGGGGGAAAAAAGGAAAGATAATAATGCTAAATTTCTAAACACTGCTCAACTCAATCCAACTAGTGTTTATTGGGTGCAAAGCTCTGTGCTTGTCATTTTAATAATACCAAGATGAGCAAGCCCCATGATGAGCTAGGAGTATGAGCTGAACTAAGAAGCACACAAATTATTAATATATCAGGCAGAGTACATAAAGGAAATACAAGGAAAAAGAAAGATGACATTAATTCAGGACATTTTAATATGCCAGAGGCAGTCACATATATTAACAACTCTTCCAAATATTCCAGATAAGCTCAGGGAGGATAACTTGTTTAAGGTCTTTAAAGCTAGGAAGTTACTGCAGGGTGGCTTTCTCCCCAGCACAGGTTCTGAAGGTCAGGCTCCATTCAGAACACCATTATTAAAGGGAAGTTCCAAGGAGGGGAATAAGTTTTGACCTAGTTGCAGTGTAGGAATTAAGAGATCAGAAAAGCTATTTGGAGGCAGTGTGTGAGGCAGGCTTTGAAGGATGAACCAGAGATTGGGCGGGAACCAGTGGAAAAGAGGGAGGGACTTTTAGGCTAAGGAAGTAATAACAATTAGCTGCTCTCCTAATTCCTTGAGTAGAGGAGTCAATCTAGGTTGAAAAACTGGCGTTCGGTCGGTCCACTCCCCCTGCCCCATCTTTTCCATTGGGGCTTTTCAGCGTTCACCAATTTCACTATTAGACTTCTATTATTTTTGTAATTGAAAAAAAAACGCAATATTTTAAAAGCACTGAATCCCTTGGACGGAGGGTGGGGGTCCGGCCAGGAGCCCCTGGCACACCCCGCCCCCTTCTACCCACTCAGCTTGACCGTCTCCTGGGAGCCGCTGATCCTCCGTGAAGGGCGCTCGCTCCCCCGCCGGTCCCTCGCTTGACCGAGGCCGCGTCAGCTGCTGGGCCGAAGTCGCCCCCGCAGGGGCGAGCGGGGCGGGGCCGCGGGCGCACCTGCCCGGCGCTGCGGGGCGAGCGGCGGCTGCGCGGACCGACGTGCCTCCCCCTCCCGCCTCGCCGTGTGTTTACGTGGAGACGAAGATGGCGGCAGTGACGGCGCTTGCCGTGCGGCCGAGGACGATTCGCCAGTGAGCGCGGAGACTGGTTCCACTACGGGCGCGGGGGGGCGCCGGTCCCGGCCCTGCTCCCTGGGCCGCGGAGCTTGCCGTCCCACCTCCGTCAGAACCGATCTTTCCTTCCAGCCCCTGACCCCTGCCCTTCCTGGTTTTCCCCCGCCTTCCTCGCAGAGGCCATGGAGGACGAGGAGAGACAGAAGAAGCTGGAGGCCGGCAAAGCGAAGGTAGGAGAGAGCCAGAGGCAACCGGGCCTGTGGTGGGAGGCGGTGGCTGGCAAGGGGTGGGAAGGGGCCCGGCAAGTGGACTTCGCAGCAGCCCCGTTGCGCTGCCTGGGAGAGAGGTGCTGCAGGGTGTGCATCTTCTTTCGCTCTCTTCTCTTTTTCTAATAGAAAAAGCCCTGGCTAGCCGGTGATACTTTCGTGATAATTGAATAGTGTGGCTCCTTTCTCGTGAATGCCCACGTAATACTCTCACTATGTTACTGTAAGCTGGTATTTAATTGCCTCTGAATCGCTAACCTTTAATTTTGTGTGTGTGTGTGTGTGTGTGTGTGTGTGTGTGTTGGGGGGGCAGTTTTCTGGGTGGTGCAGGCATTGTGCTTTCCAGGGTGGGGATTTAGGGCTTTTCTTTATTCCGTGAGGGATTTGTGCGTTGATCATCAGCTTGTCTTCCCTAGGTGGCACGCTGGCACTCTTGGGTGTGTGTGATTGGCCTGTGACAGCTGCCTCAGTAGTGGCTTGAATGTGCCACAAGTGCCAGCTGTGAACTTGGCTTTAAGGGCGTTTTTAGAAGCATGTCTTTGTACGTTTGTGTTTGGAGGTCTTTGTCATGGCATGCGCTTTTGTATCGTGTGGAATGTTAATGCAGACTGTGAATGGAACTTCTGGGGACCGAAAGGTTCCATATTACAAGCAACACCTATAGAATTCCTGCTTTAAATAATTAGGTGGTTGTATATATCTCTGGTGAGTCCCAATTTTGTGTGTGTGTGTATGAAAAAGCTTGTAAAGCAAACAATGCAAAATTTTACACAGGTATTATTCATTGGGCTTCTTAAAAATTTGACATGTACAAAATATAAATTGGGTAGCATATTTCTTTTAAAAATTGCATGTTTGAGCATATCTTTTGGCTGGTCTCAAAGGCCCTCTTCGTCCTTATAGTGAAGTTATCTTTTGTATCGTATATTCTGACTGGTTTTTTTTTGAGATAATTGTTAGCAATCATACTTGGACCACAATTAAATTATAATATAGGTAACTGTTTTCCTTCCCTTTCTTTCCTCTTCCTCCCACATAAACAAAGGAAACCAGATTAATGATTTGTTATCAATGAAGGGCCATACTGCAAAGATGCGGTAGTATAGTAGAGGCTGGACACGAGTTTGTTAAATGAATATATATATAAACTAGCTTCATATTTCTAAAATATAGTTGGTTTTCCCATAAGCTCCCTCTATGTAAGGTCAAGGCTTAAATGCTTGTGTGTAGCCTGGTTGATTTTTACTTTAGAATCTGTAAATGGAGGGAAAGGGGAATCAGGGTGTCTTCAGGTGCTCTAAATAGCTTACATTTGTGCAACCTGAGGGCGTGAGCAAACTCAGTGCATCCAGGGAAGTGGAGGTAAAGCAATGAAGATCTGATTAGATGTCTTATTTGTCTGTTACATCAGGATTTTTACTGCCTGACTCCAGAATTGTCTTCCTCAAATATATGTGAAACAGCCTTACAAAACATAGTTTACTTTGGATGACACATTTTATATTAGAGGATTTGTTTAAATTGTTTGCTGTGAGTAGTTGATTTGGCAAAGTAGAATTCTAGTTTCTTTGTGTGTATGTATGTTTCTTTGTCTTTCAAAATTCTATGGGGTAAAAGTCTTTTTACCATTATATAGATGTGATGGAATTTTAGATAGGTATTAAGATTGTGAAGACTGATAACAACATAGAAAACAGAGTGAAACAACATCATCAAAAATAGTATATACATTATTTCATTTGTATAAACGTGCTTTTAGATTAGGACTGAAAAACTCGGGATTAAAATGTATACATCTATTCAGCAAACCTATATTGAACTCCTATGTTATGCAAGAGCTGGAAATACAGAAGTACTGACGGTCTCTGTTCTGAAGTTGCTCAGAGTTTAGTGGGAGAAACAAACACTGGATGATAAATACAAAGAAAGAGGAGGGGCAGTAGGATTTGGGGGGATTTTTTTTCACATTTTGTTAAAGTATTTTAAATACTGTTTCCTCATGTTATAGACTATAAAGAAGGCTCTTAATATTGATATTAAAGCACCCTAGCATAATGCCTATCAAATAGTAGGTACTCAATAAATATTTGCTTAATATATGAGCAGAATGTTTAATGAGTCATTAACGGGTGCTACTTTACCAGCATGATTGTAATTTAATAACAGTAATCCAGAATTCTCTTAATCCAAAATATTGCTGACATCAGAAGCAACTTAAAATGATCATTTTCTAAAATTCAGAGACTTGGTTCTCCAAATGTCTCATTTGTTCGTTGGATTTAAGTATTGTGTTTGATAATGTAGTTTTACAAACTACAACTTAACCTTTTTCTGGGATAATTTATTGGTAAACTGTTCAATTGAAGTTTCCTTTCTGTATCTAGACCTCATAAATGATCATTTTTTAATAGCTCATCATGTATACAGCAATGCTTTATAAAATATTTTATACCAATCAAAATCGTAATAGGAGAATAAATTATGGTATTTGTTAACATTAAAATAATTCTACAAAGACTTTTTGAATTGAGAAAATGCCCACAAATAATGCCAGGCTAAAAAAAAGTTACCAAAAAACATGAATACATTTGAAAACTAAATGAACTGAGATGTGGTTATCTCTGAGTGGTGGGTTATAGGTAATTTAAATTTTCTTTACACTTTTAGTATTTTTCAAATTCTCTATATTTCTTTTATGACCAGGGAAAAATGTTCAAATGGCATTTTTAAAAATAATAAAGGCTTTTAAAATACAATATATTAAAGCACACGTTATATTGTATGACCATTGTCAGCACAAGAAAATGAGGCACAGAATAACTAGGTTTCCTACTTTAGTGTAGTGCTAGAACTGTAATTCTTATTCCATTGCTGCTTATAGTTGAGATTCCATATTATTAGGCATTTATAGATCTTCTTTCCATTTTTGTCTTGCTTATTCTACTTTCCTTGCTGTCAGTTGTCATTGTTATGGACGTGCTCATCTTGCCTTGCTCCTTCTCATCTGCCTCTTCCCCTAATTTTCTGTTTTAGATTTGCTGTGAGTAAAGAACCCAGACACTGAGGTTGATAGAATGCTTTGTAAACGATCAAGGGCCCATGCAGCCTGGTGAATTGACTTTATGGCAGTTTAGTTTTTCTGCTTCTTGGTGGTTTTTTGGTTTGCTCTTGGGTCCTCAGCTATGTCCTCAGTATTGATGTTGCAAGACGCCTGAGCCTGGGATGTAAGACATTACTGCATTATGTATTAAGTAAATATTTTCAGAGCTGGGTCAACCCCATTAACAATGTGCTGACGGGACAGCTCTACATAGGTTGCCCTTGTGTTGAATCAAACTATTCTAACTTCACTTTAAATGACCTCATTTTTTTTCCAAGTAAAATTATTTATGTTACATAAAGGAAGTATTGTAATTTAAGTGAACAAAATTAAATAGAGAATTGTATATTTAATATAAAATTATTACTCTCGTAAATTCTCATTATGTATACTTTAAGTTCTATTCAACATTTTATGATTAGTGTTATTTGTTGAATAATTCTTCCCTATTGCAAAGAATTTATAATTATATGATTTTTGTTTAACAAGCATTTTCAGTTTGAAGAGTAATGCCAGTTGTGTGTAAAAAAGGACAATGCTCCGTAGAAGCTGTATATAAGATTATTGATAGCAGGACTTTTCAATTATTTTCCCCTTTGATAGACAAAGTTGGTTATGATGTAAAATTGTTATTTGCATATTTCAGATACACTAGTCTGCAACTAAGAAAGTTTTCCCTCCCTGTTTTCTTTTGAATTTTCTAATTTTTTATACTTACGTATGACAGAACTTACTTAGCTTTCAAAGTAGATGCAGCATTTTATGCCTTCATCAACATTTATTTCAATACTGGTGTGTTGCCTGTGACTTAAAACTCATTCATGACCTTCAGGCTTTGTTGAAACAAAGCAAAACACGTTTAGAGAGGTGATATGGAGGAAAGATGTGTCTTCTTAATGAAACTGAAAGTTGAATGACGGCACTTGGAAAAAAGGAAGTGAAAAAGATAGGATCTGTCCAAGAGTGGAACAAAAATTTTCAAACAAAAGCATCTCTTATTTATAGAAATAAAAAGGTTTGTAGTGAGACCTAAACTGTGACTACAAAATATTTATCTATTACAGGCTACTGATTATTAAAATATAAGTGAAGTTTTTCTAATATGAAAGTTAGAAAAAATTCTGATGGTAAACTGTTAAACATTAAATGATAAGGGACATTATTTATATTCATTTCTCGGTAAGAGTCCTCTAACATTAAAATTAGGCACCTTATTGGTAGCATCCCTATAAAAATTTTAGTTTGCAGAAGTTACAGGATTTTTCAAAGTTTATTTTTAAAGGTTGTTTGGCATCTGATATATACGTATGTGAGAAAGAGAAAGAAAGAGAATTTATAATATTTCTATTTGTCCTGATAGAAAAAGGCACTAGGACTTTGGAGACATTTATTTGTTCATTTGTTCAGCCAACATTTTTGAACGCCTACAACTGCAGCTATGGATTTTTACTTAACAAGCATTTATTTAAATCATCACAAATTCTGTGCCTTATTGTCCGTTAGAATAATCCTAACATAAAATGTGGCTCTCATCAGGTGTTTTGAAGGGTAAATGAAATGACGATTGAGAGCTTTTTGAGTTTTCCAGGTGCTAGATAGATATGAAGAAGCTGTGATTGTTTTTTTTAATTGAAGTGAAACTCACATAAAAATTAATCGTCTTAAAGTGAAGAGTTCAGTGGCTTAATACAATGTTATTCAACCAGCAGTTCTGTCTAGTTCAGGAACATTTTTATTATCCCAGAGTAAAACCCTGTATTCATTAAGCAGATACTCTTCATTGCCTCTTCCCTCTAGCCCACTAGCAACCAGCAATCTGCTTTCTATTTCTATGGATTTGCCTATTCTAGTTATTTCATATAAA